CATACACACACATTCACACACACACACTCATACACTACGGACAATTTAGCCTACCCAATTCTCCTGTACTGCATGTGGGGGAAACCGGAGCACCCGGAGGAAACCCACACGAAGGCAGGGAGAACATGCAAACTCCACACAGAAGCGCCAACTGATCCGAGGTTCGAACCAGCGACCTTCTTGCTATGAGGCGACAGCACTGCCTACTACGCCACTGCCTCACCCATGTTTTTTTCCTGTTGGGCAAATTAAATGTCATTTAAACAGACTAGCTAAACTTAAGACATGTCACAATATTACATTTCCATTTTTAGCTATACTAATAGATATTAAATAGGCTACACTGTTAAGGCAAGGCAAGTTTATTTATATAGCACATTTCATACACAGTGGCACAGTGCTTTACATAACCAGGAATAAAAGAGAAAAGTATAAGAAAAATTTAAACAAATAATAAAAATTATGAAAAGAAAATTATAAAAACATCCAAGTGTGTTAAAACAAGTTTGAAAAAGAAGAGAAAAACATAATAGTGTGATTTGTCGGACGTAGCACAGTGCTCATTCAGTAAAGGCACAGCTAAACAGATGGGTTTTCAGTCTTGATTTGAATGTGCCAAATGTTGGAGCACATCTGATCATTCCTGGAAGCTGATTCCACCAGCGAGAGGCGTAGTAGCTGAAAGCCGATTCACCCTGCTTTGACTGCTTTGTACCTCTGGCTACATAATTTGTGATCTCCAGAAATGTTTATAGGGCTATGTTTTCAGAATGAGCCTATGTTGATAATAACACAGCATCCTCAGGTGGCACACAGCAATGTTATCACTCCTAAACGCTTCACGCAAAGTGTGAACACCAGAGGCAATTAAGAAGACCATCATTTGATGAAACTGTATCAAATGAAGTTAACATGGCACAAAGTGTAAAATGAGGTGTTTTTCCAAATGCCAGCCCTTATAAACTCAGCTGTGGAGGAAAAAAACAACAACACAAAAAACAAAGGCGCTCATGCAAATATTTGTTCCTGCACTTGAGAGGACACTCAAGCATGGATCAGCGCTGTAAACGGCAGATTATCATTTTGCCCTACTGACACTTTCAAGAAAGCCCTCCAGAGTCTTACACACTTACATTAGTGTTCATGCTATAGTGTAATTACTGCACGAGTATTATAATGCTACTAATGAACAACCAGCACTTAAAGCCTAATTGTTTATGGTAGACTCATTTCCTTTCTGCTGTACATTTGGATTAGATTGTGCTTTCATTTCTGTTGATGGTGTCATTCAATTCAATCTGATTCATTGGATAACATTAAGAATTTACATTTAACTTAAGAGTTGAGGGCAGATTTATTACTCCCTCTGTCAAATTTTGAATCTTCACACATATTTACCAAAAAGCTAAAAATGAAATGACTATGGTACTGTATTTTATATAATATTGTTGTCTTCTGTCAAAAGTCTTATTTTAGGTTGACTAGAATATAAGCAGGTTTTTAACATATATTTTTACATTGTTTTGTTATATATGAATGTCAATATTATTTGTCTCATTTATTTATTTACTTTCTTATTTAAGTGCTTATTGATGTACTTATTTACGTGCTTTATTTATTAAATTTATCTATTTATTTATGTGCTTATTTATTTATTTTATTTATTTTTAAGTTTTTAATGATGTGCTTAGGTGCTTATTTATTAGTTATTATGTGTTTGTTTATTTTTTTATTTATTTTTATATTACTTGGTTAAATAGATAATTTTTGTGTTTATTTATGTGATTATTTATTTATTCATTTATTTACCTTGTTTATTTAAGTTGTTTAAGTGCTTATTAATGTGCTTTATTTATTTTATTCATTCAGGTGCTTATTAATGTGTTTATTGATATGCATATTTATTTATTTATTTATTTATTTATTTATTTATTTATTTATTTATTTATTGAAGTTCTTATGTATGTGACTATTTATTTATTTATTTATTTATAAGTGTTTATTGATGTGCTTATTTATTTATTTACATGCTTATTGATGTGATTTTTATGTGCTTATTTATTTATTTAAGTGCTTATTAATGTGCTTTTGGATGTGCTTATTTATTTATTTATTTATTTAAGTGTTTATTTATTTTTATGTATTTATGTATTTATGTATTTATTTATTTATGTAAGTGCTTATTGATGTGCTTTCTTTCTTTCTTTCTTTCTTTCTTTAGTTGTTTATGTATTTAAGTGCTTATTGATGTGCTTATTTATTAATTTTCCATTTTTGTTTATTTATGTGCTTATTTATTTATTTATTTATTTTAGTTTATTTGTGTTGCAAAATAAACCATTATTGACCAATGACTAGTTTACCTATATACTAGTATCCTGCAAAATAACTAGTCAAATATTAAGTACTGTAATTATGATACAGAAGTTAGTTAGTAAAAGTAGCATGTGTGAAAAATTGTATTGAAAACGTCATTGCATGGGACATATCTGAAAAGAATTAAAAATTCACAGGAGGGCTAATGATTTTGACTTAAACTGTTCTTTTTTTTGGTCAAAAATAAACATTTGAATTATTATTATTGTTTTTTTTTTTATTCTTTATTATTTGTTAGTCAAAGGCATACTATTATTAAAAAAGAGAAAATATTTACATTTGGATACATTTTCCAACATTCCAAAATTACTCAAATGTAAAAATGCACCCTGTAGGGTCTGCCTATATTTATCCCAACTCTGAGTTGTATAGTTGGTTTTATACCATAAGAACCTGATACCAGTTGTAAATATTTATTTATTTATTTATTTATTTATTTATTTATTTGTTTATTTATTTGTTTGTTTGTTTGTTTGTTTATTGGTAAATAAAGCTGAATAAATAAATTTTCCATTGATGCATAGTTTACAGTTAGGATTTAGCTGAGATAAAACTATTTGAATATCTGGTTATAGGTTATAATAAAATAAAAAAAAAAAAACATTTGAAATTGACATTTAATATTGTCTAAATTAAGTTCTCAGCGATAGATATTATCGCTTATTTATGTATTTATTTATTTATTTGTGTTTGTATGTGATTCAAAACTAGTTAACGTAAATAACCTAATTATGCCTATGAGCGGAATACTACACTGTAAAACCCAAAAAGTTAAGGTAACTCAAACCGTTTGAGTAAACCGATTGCAACAAACCATTTAAGTTCAAAATCTAATTCTAATGAGTACTTTGAACTTAATTAATTTGAGTAAACAAAGCAATCTGAGCACAGCAAAACCCAATAACTGAAGAGAACTCAAACCAACTGAGTACTGTAAAATCCAATAAGTTAAGGCGACTCAAACCTTTTGAGGATACCGATTGCTACAAACCATTTAAGTAAAAAAAAAACCTAATCTATATGAGTACTATGAACTTACTCAATTTAAGTTAAAGTAATGAAATATTTAACTAACTCATTGCTGCAATACCGAGTTCACGATTCTTTTCAATTGAGTAGAACTAACATTTAGTCAATTTAGAGTTAACTACACTTATTTCATTTAATAAAGTTGACTGTTAGGTTTTACTGTGTAGTATCCTGCAAAATAACTAGTCAAATTTGGAAAATCTGGAATCTAAGGGTTATAATAAAATCTAAATATTTTGAAATTCACATTTATTATTGTCTAAATTAAGTTCTTAGCAATGGATATCACTAATCAATATATATGCAGGAATTTTACTACACTTATTCGCAGAACATGACCTTTACTTAATATAATAATCTATATATGTAAATAATTTATTTGCTTGTTTGTTTGTGTATTTATGTATGTGTTTGTTTATTCATTTTTGTTTTTTGTGCTACAAAACAAACCAAAGTTGACCAATAACTTGCATGGTTAACGTAAATAACAGTTATGCCTATGAGCTGAATACTAGTATCCTGCAAAATCAGTAAAATCTGGAATCTGTGGGTTTTCATAAAATCTAAACATTTTAAAAATCACATTTAATATTGTCTAAATTAAGATTTTAGCGATGTATGTCACTAATCAAAATATATGTAGGACATTTCCAAAACGTTTTCTTAGAACATGATCTTTACTTAATATTTATTTTTGGCATCTACAATTGTGATGCATACAGTGTATTTTTGCCTGTTGCCATTTATATATATATATATATATATATATATATATATATATATATATATATATATATACACACACACACACACTCTCTCTCTCTCTCTTTTATGAAAAAAAAAAAAAAAAAAAATATAGATATCGCGGGGAGAGAGAGCTCTATCTCTTTTTTTTTTTTTTATGCAGCCCCCC